GGGTCCCTAAATTGGCCAGAATCACTAAACCAGGTCTGCCGTGGCTGGTGTTTTTCGGGTGACTCCAGTTCTGGTTAGTGGAACGGGGCCTGGGGGTCGTTCCCCAGTACACATCATTAAACCAGGTCCCACTAAACCCAGCTGCCAACGCCCGATCCTTTCTGGGAATCTGGACCCCAAGCCTCTGCGAGGAGCTGACCCTGGACTCCGAGAACATGGCCGTGATGCAGGCGAGCCTCTCTGCCCCTGCCAGCGCGCACTGGCTACCAATCGTGGGGCTGCTCGCTCATTGTCCTGCGCGCGCTCCTCCCTCTGTCTCTCTCCCTTTCTCATGCTGTTTCTTCCTTATCTCCCTCTCTCTCTCTCTCGCTCTCCCAGTCCCTCCTGCTGCTCATGCTCCCTCCCTCCTCTCCTCCTCCTCCTCCTCCTCCTCATTCTCCGCCATCGCATCCTCCTCCTCCTCCGCCTCCTCCTCCTCCTCCGCCATCGCCTCCTCCTCCGCCTCCGCCTCCTCCTTCCTCATCCTCAGCCTGCTCTCCCAGCCTCTGCCACTGGGCCCTCGGGGAGGCTGTGCCGCTTCCCCCCCCCACACCTTTTCCTCCCTTCTTCAAGGGAGGAACAAAAACAATAATAGCCCACAAATAGTCGGGTGACGCCTTGTCGTGCTCTCTTGACTATGTTCGAACCTTGCTTTGTCTATAGTTTTTGTTTTCTCCCCAAATCCGCCTGTGGGAGGACATCCCCGACCTAAATCAAGGGAAAAAAAACACATGGACCCGAGAATTGACGTTTACTAAACGGCCTTCAGCGTTTACTGAACAGCCCTGGCCTGTTCGATTCCTTTTTTGGGGCGCGTTCACGGAACGGCTTCGCGTGCCGGGGTGCTGGGTGGTTATTATGGGGGTGGATGGTTTGACTTCTACTTCTCTCCTGCTGCGGTCCTGCTCCCCCTCCGCCTCTTCCCTCTTCGCTCCTTCTGGAGGGGCGCGCAACAGGGGTTCTATTGTGGTCGTGTTTTTATTAATTGTTTTGCGGACCCGCGCTGGCCTCCCAATCCCCCCCCCTCCCCCCAGGGAGCAGATCTGGGCTGTTTTTGGCGCCTGTTTCGAGCAGGTGGAGGCTCCCCTCATAGGATGCACTCTTGCAAACAGTCTCACCAAGCAGAGGTCTGGAGCCAGACCCCCACCCTTTCCGCCCAATGTCGAAACGCCGAATAAAGAAACGCTAACATCTGCGCGCTGGTCACCGGTGGGATTGCAGCAATCGGCATGGGCTTGCGCCCAGTGCTGCAAATCGGATTGCGCACCGTGCCGTGGTCTCCCTGCGCTTCAGGTGCCCCGACCTGCTCTTCCCTCGCCCGAGGTGTCCTCCTCCGTCCCGGCTGCCCTCCTTTCTCCTTGCCCCCTCTTTCTTTCGGCGGCAAGCGAGGGGGGGGGGGGAAGCGAGGAGGAGAAGGCCTTCTCAAAAGGTGCGGAAGTGCTCCGGCCGTCTCTGAGAAGCCTTCCAAGCCTTCCCCGCAGACAAGCCAAAAACTTCTCAGAAGGAAGTCCCGCCGCCTTCTGAGAAGGCCTTCTCCTTCTCGTTTCCCCCCCATCGCTAGGGCTTCTGAAAAATCCCCCCGCCCTCTGAGAAGGCCTTCTCCTTCTCATTTCCCCCCCATCGCTCGCCGCCGATTCTCGGGCCTCGTCCTGCGTTTCCAATCTCTGTCGCTGCGCGCCACCCGGAAAGGCTCCATCGCACGACGCGCCTCTACATATGACCCCTTGGCTGCCCCAGACGCGCGCCGCCCCCCGCGTGCATACTCCTCGTGGGCAGGGCGGGCGTGTGGATCCTTCTGGTGAAGGCCCGGCCTCCCTGGCCCGCGTTGATTCGAATGTCCTGGGCCATTCCTAGAGGCCTCCTAGATGGGGTCCGAGTAGATGGGGTCGAAGGATCGCGCCGTATCGCCAATGCATCGCCGATGTGTCGCCGATGTATCGGCGATGCATCGGCGATGCATCGGAGACGTTGGCGATGCATCGGCGGCGTCGGCGTGGGGAAACACGGTCTCCACATCGAGCCGCATCGCCGATGCGTCGGCGATGCGTCGCGATCCCCCGACCCCACCTACTCGGACCCCATCTCGCAGGCTCAGCATTCGGCGAGATTGCTTAACATTGCGTCGTCCTGTTCCCGCCCGCTCCTCCCCCGCCGGCGCCAAGATCGGCCGACATGCAGTCAAAGGGCTGGGGTTAAGTCGGGCGTGTCCCTCTACAGGGGGAATATCCAAAAATAGTCAACAAATAGTCTTGGGACGATTTTTCTACTAGTTTTGATTTTGTTGGGGTATTTCTTGGACTATTTGTATTGTAGTGGCCTCCGGCCAGTGCCGCCGATCCGGGGTGCTCCTGCTGCTATTGCTGTTGGCATGGACGATGACGACGACAACGGACGACCAACGGTCGACGAGCGGGATTATTACGACGACGACGACCGACGAAGGAGTTACTGACGACGAACCGACGACGACGACGACGACGACGACGACGACGACGACGACGACGACGACGACGACTGACGGCGAACGGCTGCCGACGGCCGACGACCGACGACTGGTGACGGCGACGGGTGGAAGGTTCTTCGTTCATCGCTTTCGCTTCCGAGCAATACCAAGTCAGGCCGTGCACCTCTGGCCTGGCAGCACGCAAGTGAGCGCCACTTGGGGCCTCTTGGTTCTTGGGGCTTCTTGGGGGCCTTTGGGGCCTCTTGGGGGCCTCTCGGGGTCCTCTTTGGGGCCTCTTGGGGACCTCCTGGGGGCATCTGGGGGCCCCTTGGGGGCGCCTCGGGGGCATCTTGGATGCTCTTGGGGTCATCTTGGGGTGGAGGACTAGAAGGGTCCGTTCGGGTTCACCCTCTTGAGGCCATCTTGGGGGCTTCTCGGGGTCGTCTTGGGGGGCCTCCAGGGCTATATTGGGGCCCTCTTGGACCGTCTTGGCTCCTCTTGGGGGCATCTTGGGCTGTCTTGGGGCGATCTTGGGGGCCTCTTGGACCGTCTTCGGCGCTTCTAAGACGGAAAAGGCGATACTGTTAAAATGTTTCAAAATTCATTAGCAACTTTGTTATTGTACCCACTTGGGGCCCTCTTGGGGGTCCTCTTGGGATCTCCGGCCTCTTGGGCCGTCTTCAGGCCATCTTGGGCGTCCAGGAGCGCTTTTGCGCCGTTGCGGGCGCCTCCTGGACCGTCTTGGCGGCCTCCTGGGCTCCTTTTGACCCGTTTTGGGGCGGTTTGGGATTCCTGGGGGAGGGGAAGAAAGGGTGGACCCGATGAAACCCCGCCCCCCTCCCCCCCCTACCCCGGCAGCCCCCAGCAGAGCTGAAGCTCAGGTTGTAGCTTTCTTAGGACTATTTGTATTTGTTCGTCCAAACCCCAGTGTACGGGAACAGGCCCGACTTAATGCTGGAGTTGATGCCCGAGATGGGTTCGAGAGAGGCACGATGTGTCCTGGGCCCTTCCAGCGGTGTTCCTTTCAACCCTTCGCATCCTTATCCAGGAGGGGAACAAACACAGACACAATTAATCGTCGACTCCCAGGAAAATATGGGAAAATATGAGGAGTGGGGGAAGACGAACATCAGAAAAATACTGAAAAATGTTGGGAATCCTATTATTTGTGTGTATATGTATTTGCGTGTTCTTGGGCCCCTTCACTTATCCACTCATCCGCCCCCTGTGTCCCTCTCTATCCCCCTCCGCCTCCAACTGTTGTTCCCCCCCTGTTAGGATGCTCTGGATCTCACGTACAAGTTTGCATTTTGTGATTATCGCTGTATCCTCGTCACCTTCGTCATTGCTATTGACCTCGTCATCCTCCTCAACCTGCTTGTTCTCATTATCATGTTCTGCGCCTGTCGGGCCGAACGAAATGGGGGGGATAGGGAAAGGGGGGGTTACGAAACCTGCTGCTTGCAGCTGGTTTGGGCCCGGCCGCTGGGCCTAGTCCTCGATACATGGGCAGCTCCCGGCGCCGGGAGGCGCTGGGAAAATCAGCTGCGTGAGCTGATTCTCTGCCCTGCCATTTGCTATCCCCCCCGCTCGTTCCCCCCGAGTCTGCCCCAGGCGTTCAAGCACGGCGAGTTCTACGGATCTCTCGACGCCGATTTCTACTCGAAGAACGTGTCGGGACTGCGGCATCCATCCGCCAGCCTCGTACGATCGCTGCAGTGCGACAGGGAGGACGAGGCAGAGGCTGAGGTAGAGGCGCGGAGAAGGAGGAGGCAAGGGTGGATCTGCGGCGGAGAATGGTGAGGAAACGATCAGGAGGAGCAGCAGGAGGAGGAGGGGGAGGAGGATTGGCAGCAGGATGAGGGAAGGAGGGAGGACAAAGATCAGGCTGGGCAGGGTAGCAGCAGCAGAAGCATGAGGAGGAGGAGGAAGAGAATGGGGGGGGAGCAGGAGCGGCAGGAGGAGCATGATGAGACAGCAGAGGATGAGCGTGCGTGGGGGCAGCCCTGGGATTGGCCCGTGAGCGGGCAGCACGAGAGGGTGCGGCAGTCACGCTGACCTACGGGTCGGCAACCGATGGTTTCTGTTGCGCAGGTTGTGGGAAGACCTGGCGGGGACGCCACTGCTCTCCTTCACACGCATGCACCAGAGAATGCTAAAAGGGAGACATCGGGTTTAGAGCCCCGCCTAGCAGTCGTTTTCTGTGATGGTTCAGTCAGGGTCGCGTTGATTAAAACAAGGGTGGTCCTGTCGACGAGAATGGCAAGTAGTAACAAGGGGACGAGAAAGTCTACGACTATCAAGAGAGCGGGGAGAAGGAGGGCGAGACATATCATAATGATGTGGAGGGTGAGGGTTGGCAGACAGATGGCATTGTGAGTTGGGAGGAGAAGATGATAATCAAGAGGTCCGTAGTAATTTCGGTTCAAGCCAGTTTGGCTGAAAAAGGGGCTTACTTCAACGGCCTCAGGTCAGGCACTCGGCGCAGACTGCCAGCTTTCAGCATTAAATTTCGACCATGGCGGGCGAGGCGGGTAAGGCGCGCACCGTGCTTCTGGCGACCGAGAAGGCCTTTGCGGCCGACGCGGTGGCCAAGATCCAGGCCGCCTTCGACGAGTCCAAGTACACAATGAAGAAGCTGGAGAACTACAAGAGCAAGGACGAGCTCCTGGCCGCCGTGGCCGACGTGGACGCGATGATCATCCGCAGCGACATCGTGGACGCCGCGGTCCTGGAGAAGGCCGCGAAGCTGAAGATCGTCGTCCGTGCCGGCGCCGGGTATGACAACATCGACTTGAAGGCCTGTGAGGCGAAGTCGATCACGGCGATGAACACCCCGGGGCAGAACGCGAACGCCGTCGCCGAGTTGGTGTTCGGCATGATGTTGACGAGTGCCCGCAACAACTACGACGGCACCAGCGGCTTCGAGCTCGTCGGCCGCAGCATCGCGTTCTACGGCTACGGCGCCGTCGCCAGGGCGGTGGGGAAGTTGGCAGCAGGTTTCGGGATGGTCCTGTACGCCTATGACCCCTACATCCCGAAGGATGCCATCAAGAAAATGGGCGCCGAGCCTGTGGACACCGTGGCGGACCTCTTCAAACACCAGTATGTGTCGCTGCACGTGCCGCTGACTCCAGAGACCAAGGAGTCCATCAACAAGGAGCTGCTGCTCAAGATGCCCAAGGGCGGCACCCTGATCAACACTGCAAGGATGGAGGTTGTGCACGAGGCGCAGATGCTCGAGGTGCTGAAGGAGAGGCCCGACTTCTGCTACCTGTGCGACGTCGGCTTCAAGGCACAGGAGGAGGCGAAGGCGATCGTTGGGGACAAGTACATGAAGCGGGTGATCTTCACCAAGAAGAAGATGGGCGCCCAGACCGTCGAGGCCAACAACAACGCTGGCATCGCTGCGGCCAACCAGATCGTTGGCTTCTTCGAGAAGGGCGAGACCAAATTCTCTCTCAAGGCCTGA